TCCTTGCACAAGCAAGGTGTACTCGTGCCTGAGGTTCTTTGCATTAGCTGATCCACCTGTCCAGGATGCTTTTCTCAGACATCCTAATGACGAACTTTCTCACCTCTTTCAGGTCTTTGTTCAGGTGTCAGATACTCAATAAGCCCTACCTTGACCACCCTATTTAACTGAAAACTGCCCTCTGTCGTCTGCACTCAGATCCTCCCTATATTGCTCTAATTTTGGTCAGAATGGAAGCTCCTTTGCCTGTTTTGCTCACTGGTGTTCTTGAGAGCACATCATAGGTGCTTAACAAACATTTTCTGTAGGTGAATGTCTATGTATATTTGGATATATTTATCAAATGTTTAACCCCATTTTCATTTTAAATCTACATTGTTAAAAGAAGAAAGTAATACATACTTGCTATAAGGAATGTAAAAACTAAAAGTGCCTGATTCCTCTAACTTATATCCAATCTAATCACTGTTTCTGCTCTGGTATATGCTCCTCCAGACTTCTTTTAATGCACATACAAACATGTGCACAGGCACACAAATGTTTATAAAAAAGGAATCATACTACCGATATATTTTTGGAATTTTTTCATTTACTATATCATGGACGACTTTCCGTGCCTACTCATGGAAAGATACTAATAGCTCTATTTCATTGGTTTGTGGAGATAGTCTTCACCTAAAGTTTTATTGTAGCAAAATTTCATCAATTTGGACTTTGAGATTTGAGATGTTTTGGAAAGGGACTGCCCCAGTTTACCTTCATTTATAGAGAAAGGAATTATGAAACAGGTTATTTGTAGATAATATTACTAATGAACATACTATTTAAGAAAATAGTTTTATATTACCATCTAATAAAGACAGCACTAGAGAAGATAGTACTATATGTAAAACTGTTTAGTTCTAGACTTAGAAAATTATAAATAGTGTTTTCGTCATGGGTGAGAGGAATTGCTCCCAGCCACATGCATCAAGATCACCTGGGGGTACTTTGGCAAGGTGCAGAGTTCTGGCCCCCACTACAGACCCGCCACGTAGAGGAATGGTTCTCAAATCTGACACACCTTTTAAAAATAAATATTTTGTGACAACATTTTGGTATACTGAAATGAAATTAATAATAATATAATCTACTAACATATGGATATCAAACATTTAATATGGTACTCTTTTTTTATTTTTTGAGACAGAGTCTCTCTCTGTTGCCCAGGCTAGAGTGAGTGCTGTGGCATCAACCTAGCTCACAGCAACCTCAATCTCCTGGGCTCAAGCGATCCTCCTGCCTCAGCCTCCCGAGTAGCTGGGACTACATGTATGCACCACCATGCCCCAGTAATTTTTTCTCTATATATATTTTTTAGTTGTCCAGCTACTTTCTTTTTATTTTTAATAGAGATGTGGTCTCACTCTTGCTCAGGCTGGTCTCCAATTCCTGACCTCAAAGGATCCTCCCACCTCGGCCTTAATATGGTACTCTTAATAATGTCAGGGAGTGATGATACCACAACTTTCATTTTACCCAGAGAAAAGTCTGGGATCTATAAGACCCTGCACAGTCTGGTCTCCTATTTCCTCTCTGAACTCAGAGCCTATTTCCTTACGTCTTACTTCTCTCAAACCACACTGGTCTCCTCACTGTCCTTGAAACGACCCAGAAATGCTGCCTCCTTATAGCTCGAATACTCTTTCCCAGATGTCCACTTGGCTGCCTCCCTCTCTTCCTTCAAGACTTTTCTCAAAAGTCACCTTCCCAGTGAATCTTCCCCTGATTACCCCATTCAAAATTCTAAGCCCCATCCCTATTCCTTACATTTTGTTTCCTTCTCAGCTTTGTTCATTTTTTAAATCATCTATCACTATCTAAAATGGAGTACATATTGCTTTTTTTTTTTTTTTTTTTGAGACAGAGTCTTGCTCTGTCCCCTGGGCTACAGTGCCATGGCGTCAGCCTAGCTCACAGTAACGTCAAACTCCTGGGCTCAAGTGATCCTTCTGCCTCAGCCTCCCAAGTAGCTGGGATACAGGCCTGCGCCACCACACCCGGCTAATGTTTTCTATTTTTAGTTGTCCGGCTAATTTCTTTCTACCTTTAGTAGAGACGGTGTCTTGCTCTTGCTGAGGTTGGTCTTGAACTCCTGACCTCAAGTGGTCCTCCTGCCTCAGCCCCCCCAGATTGCTAGGACTACAGGTATGAGCCACCATGCCTGGCCCATATTGCTTTTTTATTATTTCTCCCCACCCAAATATAAGCTCCATGAGGGCAGGAATTTTGTCTGTTTTGTTTACTGTTGTAGTGCCTAGTGTGGGCATATTATTCAGAAAACAGTTGTTGAACAAAGTGATGAACAATAAAAGCTCATTTCAACACATCAGCCCTACTAGATGACATTATCAAGTGGTTAGATAACTAAATTATAGATAGGATCACCATGAATGTATATATATATAAATGGAAACCAAGTCACCTAACCTGTATTGACAAATCTGATGCCATGAGGGGTATAGATAAGAATGATGTGATTTTCCAAAGTCAGAAATAACTCTTGGTGAGATTTGAATAAATCAAAGCACACTCTTCCCTCCATTTACACAGTACTTGGATTCCTGGACAAATTGGTGTACAACAAAACCAGGTTAAAAAAAAAACCCTGTGCTTATATGTAAAATAATTTGGTTCTAGACTTAGAAAATTATAAACAGGTTTTTTTTGGTCATGTATGAGGGGAATTGTTCTTTTTTGTGTAGGACTGTTCTATACACTGTAAGATGTCTGGTATCCTTGACCTCTACCCACTAAATGCCCAGAGTACTCCCTGATCATTGTGACAAACCCAAAATGCCCCCACAGATTTCTACAATGTCATATTGAGAATCACTGAGTTAGGTGCTTTCTGTTCCAAATAACAGAGAAATAAACCTATATTGACTTCATAAAAAAATATTTGTTTCCTGTTACTGACCAGTCCTGGGGTACATAAATTTCAGGGAAGTCTTCATTTGGGGTCAAATGGTTTAACCATTCTACCAGTGGAGGTTTACTGTAAACCAGTGGTCTCCAACCTTTTTTGCACTAGGGACCGGTTTCATGAAAGACAATTGTTCCATAGACATGGAGGGGCAGGGAGCAGAGCTCAGGTGGTGATGTGAGCAATGGGGAGTGGCTGTAAATACAGATGAAGTTTCAGGCTCAATCACCCACCGCGCACCTCCCTGCTGTGTGCCCCACCTCCCCTTTGTAAGTTTCATGGAATACAATTTTTCCACGGATGTGGGAGGAGGGGTGTTTCTGAGTATCCACTATATATGTCTGAGCTCTGCCACCTGGTCCCTAACAGGCTGTGGACTGATAGAGGTCCATGGTGTAGGGGTTGGGGACCACAGCTGTAAACAAATAAATAGAAAAAACAGGTATGTATTATAAATTGGGATGCATTTTTTGCCCCCAAGAGATAAGGTCTCACTCTGTCACCCAGGCTGGAGTGGGGTGGAATGATCATAGCTCCCTGTAGTCTTCCAACTCCTGGGCTCAAGCAATCCTCCTACCTCAGCCTCCTGACTAGCTGGGACTACAGGTATGGGCTACTGTGCCCAGCTGATCTTTTTTACTTTTTGTAGTGACAGAGTCTCGCTATGTTATCCAGGCTGGTCTCAAATTTCTGGCCTCAAATGATCCTCCTGTCTCAGCCTCCCAAAGTACTGAGATTACAGGCATGAGCCACCATGTGTCTGGCCTGGAACACATTTTATACAGAAAAAGAACAGGGAGCTTTGAGAGAGAACAGAGGTTAGAGAACCTCATTTAGACTGGTCAGGGAAGATGTCTCTGAGGAAGTGACATTTAAGCTGCGATGTGAAGGGTAGGAAGGATTCAGCCTGTGAAGAGTGGGGGAATAATGTTCTGTGTGGAACAGATATTAATAGCATATTTTGCAATTTTGCTTTTACTAGCTTTATGTGGATTGCTAGACTGAAATGATATTTTATATAAAATATGTCTCATCATATTTAGATTCTTCAGTTCACATTTAGGATTCAGTTAGTTGGACGAGGCCTCTCGTTACCTTAGTTCAGAAGTCTTTGTGGTGGGGGTTAAATACTAAACGGGAATGACATATGAAACTAATTTGGGAAAGGAGAATTAGCATGTACCTTTCTCTCCTTTTCTTGCAAAAATAATTAAATGTTTGCACAAAATCAATGTCGTGCTTTCCACACTATTATCACTTATGCAGTGATATATAGTGAAATAATTACTTTAATAACAATTTTTGTTTTCTCTTCGTCTGAGTGAATTCTGCTCATAGCTCAATATTAGCTCTAGAAGGAAAAAAAAAACAATCTTAAGAGAGCAATTGCAAATGCATTTGTTGGCAGCAATTTCTATCCCTGAATGCACAGTAAGTTCTGAGCTTATGAGCTATGGGGAAAAAAATCTTTGTGATAAATAATATATTTGATAATGAGCAGCAGGAGAAAAAAAATGTTTTCTGTTGAAGAGTCCAAAATGAAATCGAATAAAATGGGAAAATGTTGCTTAGAAGGAAGGACATCTTTTGCATCATGGATGGATATGGAGCCAAAGAACCGTGATTGTTTATTTTTTACTCTCATTCTTTTCGTGCCAGTCTGTGGCATATATTTTCAGACCTTTCATGAACATCAACTTTCAAAAGGGCTTAGTTCTCAGATCTGACACTGGGTGATTTACTTACATTATCTCATTTAACCTTTTCAACTCTACAGATAGGCAGGTATGAGTATCCCCATTTTAGATATGAATAAGCTGAGACTCAAAGAGGTTAACTAACTCCCCCAGGGTCACAGAGCTTAGCCAGTGTCTGAGTCAGTGTAAATTAAATAAATAACCAGGGATTTCAGAATAAATGTCTAAAATACTCTCGAGAATAGACTGCTTTAAGCTCTTTCAAGCATTTGGCTTGCTGGGTGACCTAGACTCTGTAAGAGGAGCTTCAGCTTTCGGATTTTGACCAAATAAAGCATGTATCTCTTGGGAGTATTAAGGCATCCATTTACTTATTTTTTTTCCCTCTCCATTATTCCCTTTGTCCCTGAAGCAGTCTGGGTGTTTGGCAGGTGCTAGACAGTAAATTATGGTTCTAAATGGTGCCTCAGTGGCCTAATAATAATAAGGAAACATGTCCCACAATGTCAATCTGTAGACCCGGGAATAATTAGTACATTTATCAAAGCAGATGGATTTCAGAGGAATTTGAATCCTGCTCTAAGCACAGCATCGGTTTTTTGGCTGGAGTTTAGTGAACTGGGCTTCATAACTTATTATTATTTAGCTGCCCTGTTTGTCCTTCCTTCCTTTTTTAGCAGTTTCACTGCTTGCTTCAACTTTCCATTCTTTTGTGCTTAGAAAACGTAGGAACCTGGGGACAGGAAGAGAAAGTGGGGATCGAGGAAGGGAAAAACAAATATTATGAGAAGGAACTGTTCTGTCGTCTGAGCCGGCAGCGCCCGGTCTTTGTATTGTAATTATTGTTCCCTGACCTTTTGGTTGGGAGCGAGCGTAGAGCAGCCTTGCACGGATCAGCCCCACTCCGGAGGGCTGTGGGTTCCTCCTGTCTTCGTGGTTGATCCACGGACATTCCCAGGGCCCAGGACAGCGCCGGGCACCAGGCAGATGATCGCACTCGTTGGCTGGATGAATGAAAGGTGAGCGAGGAAGGCGAAGCGAGGAGTCATCCAGGGCGAGACAGGAGGAGGAGGAGGAGGAGGAGGAGGATGGCACCGCGCGGGGCCTGCGGGAAGAATCCGAAAGTGTCTGTGTGATGGAGAGGGAAATGGAAAAGGGGACGTCCCAACGACTGGGACTGGGACTGGGACGCAAGAACCGGGACAGGGAAGGCCCGAGTGGGGACCGCAAAGGTTTGCAGGAAAAAAGTGAGGCGAGCCTCGAGGGTAAGGGCGAGACAAAGGGGAGCAGCGAGGCTGGTCGTGGGAAGGAATGGAAAAGAAGTGGCCGGGGAGGGAGGCAGAGCGACGGCGAGAGGGTGTGGCGGGCGCGGGGAGGGCGCGGCGCGGCCCGGCGCGGAGGAGGGGCGCGGGCGCCGCAAAGTTACTTGGCCTGCGCCCGGCCGGGTCCGCGTGCTGTGGCGGGCCGGCGGGAGGAGCGGAGCGGGGCTCGGCGGGCTGAAACCCGAAACCTCTGGTCCCCGAGCGCGGCCGGGAGGAAGGAAGCGGCGGCGGCGGAGGCGGGAGGCGCCGGCCGGGCCTGAGCTGCCGCGGCGGCGGCTCTCGGTGAGCGGCGGCGGGCGGCGGGCGGCGGGAGGGCTGCCCGCGATGGGGCCGGCCGAGTTCGCCGTGCAGGGCTGGAGGGCGCGCGGGGCGGGGGCCGGGAGGGTCTCCGCGCCCCGTCCCCCGCGCCTCTCCACAGCCACGGCGCTTGCTTCTCCCCGCCCCCTCTGGGAGGTAGGGGACCGTCCCCTCGGCCGCACTGCGCCTTACTTTGGAGAGCTGGAGCTCTTTGTGGGAAGATGTTGGGGGCGCTCCCCTCCCCTGCGGCCAGGGGCTTCTGAGGGGACCACCCCATTCCGCTGGGTGCAGGCCGCCTCATTTCCCCGGCGCCGCCCGAAGCCCCCTACCCAGTCTCCCGGGGAGGAAGGGCATCGGAGCGTGCCGGGGACTCGGCCGATGGGGACCGCGCCCCCCGGGGCCAAGGGGCTTCGTGCCCTGCTCAGGGATAGGGGCTCGGGCGAAGCGACCGCGACCCTCGGCTGGAATCCGTGAGCACCAGGTGAGCAGCATTCTCCCAGGAGGGCTCAGGGCGCTGTCCTCCCGAGCCTGGGCGGGCGGCGCGCGCATACGTCGCCCGGCGCCGCCAGGTGGGCTCCTCTGCCCCTCAGCCTGCCAGGGGGAGATTTGGTTAGGTGGCCAGCCCTCGGCGCCTTCTGGGCCAGAGCTTAACCCTTGTGCCACCTTTGGACAAAGGCATGCGGGATGAGAACGTCTGCTGGATAACTGGGCTGGCCTCGCGTGCTTCGGAGATGTCTGTCGCCAGTAACCACACAACCACGCGTTGCGTTAGCATCCCTTCATGCCATGCCTTTGAGGCTATTTTTGTTCACTATTGTACCTTTCATCCCTTTTGCAAAGTGCTTTCAAGAGCGGGTCATTTGATCCTCCTCCCTGTGAAGTAGGGGAATGGTGTGTGGTTTTGGAGGGAAAGGACCTCAGTTCCTTGATCTGTCCAATGGGGATCCTGATTACCATCAGGCGGTCCTGTCTCGGCGTGCTAGAGGCTGGGGGAGGACAGTCATGCCCGTCGCTCCTCCGAGGAGCCAGCTAGGGATTCAGCCTGGTTTCTTCTCCCCGAGTGACCTAGACCTCCATATGAGCTCTGGAGAGTGACTGCTTCCGGGAACACATGGTTTCCCTTATAATCCATTTATTTCCCTGCAGCCACTGGGAGCATGCGAAGAGAGGCATTTCCCAGGTCTTCAGGGCAGAAAGAGGGGGTGGGAGGAACCTCACATCACACCTACAAGGGCTCTTCATCCAACCGTAACTGGGACGCATGCCACCCATTTCTGCCACTTCCTCCAGAGCACCCCTCTTCCTGGCCTCATCCACACCCATCTTATACTTGTAAGGTGCTAACAAGCACTTTCATATGCACTTTGTAATTTCATTCTCACAGCAGATCTGGAAAGCTCTATTAGCCCATTTGATAGGTGAGGAAACTGAGACTCAGGAGAGGTGGAGTACTCTGCCCAGCTAGTGAACAGCCAAGATCGAACTCAGGTCTTGTGACTTGACAGTGCTTTTCATGAGGCTTCCTGATATCACACAGGCGGGTGCTTTAACTCAGGACTTCTCCCTGCCCTACAGCTCCACTGAGAATAGAGACCCATAATAAAGAGACCTGCTTGTCCTTTTGGAACTAAATCCAAGGCCTCAAGTATCCAAATGGTTCTGTTTGTGTTGCAGCCAGGTGCATTGGGAGTCCTCTGAGAGGTGAAGGAGCACTGTATGGTCGCAGGGGTGTGAGCTCTCTGTTTGGGTTTGGTGGAAGACAGAATGGGCTTGGCTGGAATTGACTTAAATGCCAGCAAAAGGACATACAGCTCTTTGTAGTCAACCCCACAGCTGATGGGGCCAGTCAGGAAGCCTGAGAGTGGGAATGGGCTGGGCAGGAGAGCTGGGAGGGGGCTGTGTGCACAGCATGCCTCCCTCCCATGAGGAGGCCCCTGCAGGTGGGACAGGGCTCCAGCGTATTGTTGCCTGGTCTGAGTTTTGGTAGAAGCTGTAAATTTTTATGGAGGAAAAAAAAAGCTTCCTATTTTTAAAGATGGCAACTAATTCAAAACATTTTTAAAAATGTAGGGGATAAACAAATTACTGTGTGCAGGCTGGTAGTGGCCTGCAGACTGCCAGTTTGCAACCTCCGTGTTGGACCTTAGGGAGCATTTACTGTCATTCTGAGATGCATGGCTGAAAGGGAGAAGTGGTATCTTCTTGCTGTTTTTCTTTAAGAACAAAAGCCAGTAAAACTAGAGCTAGATAGCTGTCAGTGCTGCCTGGGGGTTGGAGGATGGATTGACTTTATGATTCAATACTTCATTCATTCAAATAGAGCTCATCTGTGATTCCGTTTCTACAGCAAGAGAGAATTCTTACGACTAATTTTTATCTATTTCCTTGGACATTTTATGTGTCCAGCAGGGGAGAGGATGGCATTCATGCTAATGTGTTCAGGGAGCACTGGGAGCATCTAAGAAGGAGTATTCAGTTGGCCAGGGGTAAAACATGAGGAGGTATATTTCAATTTTATTTTGGTTTGTGTTTTTTTTAATACTCAAGTACTAGGTGAGAGAACACTGTGTTAATGGCACCTGAAGTCAGACAGCCTGCATCCCAGCCCTGCCTCTTACAAACTTGTGACCTTCGGTAAACAATGCAAAGTATGCCTGGAAAAATACAGAAACATAGGAAAAGAAATTAATGTTCCTTCCACCTCATCTCTACTCTCTCTCGTTATCTTAGAGGTAACCATTATAAATGTATTTCTTTTCAGGTCTTTTTTATTTATTTATTTATATATTTATATATATATATATATATATTTTTTTTTTTTTTTTGAGACAGAGTCTCACTTTGTTGCCCAGGCTAGAGTGAGTGCCGTGGCGTCAGCCTAGCTCACAGCAACCTCTAACTCCTGGGCTCAAGCAATCCTTCTGCCTCAGCCTCCCGAGTAGCTGGGACTACAGGCATGCGCCACCATGCCCGGCTGATTTTTTTCTCTATATATTAGTTGGCCAATTAATTTCTTTCTATTTATAGTAGAGACGGGGGTCTCGCTCTTGCTCAGGCTGGTTTCAAACTCCTGAGCTTGAGCAATCTGCCCGCCTCGGCCTCCCAGAGAGCTAGGATTACAGGCATGAGCCATCGCGCCCGGCCTTATTACACCTTTGATTGTGCAGAAGCATTTAATTTTTATGAAGTTAAATCTATATAATTTTTCTTTATTTTCAAGTTTTCTGTCTTGCCCAGGAAGTCCTCTCCTATTTCAAGATTAACTTTTCGTGAATTTTCTTTCTTCTACAGTCCTCCTTTGCTCTTCTCCATTTGCAAATATTTTAAATTACTGCTTCTTTTCCTTTTCCTTTTTCTAGTTTCCCTCCTCTCTGTGACCCCAGGGAGGTCAGGGTTTGAATCTGCCTGTGAGTCTCTTTAGCCAACCTATATTTTCTTTGACTTTTACAGCACCTTTTCCCCCCAAGCCTTAAGGGTGAGCTCTTCTCCGGGCGGGCAGAGAGGGAGAAAAGGCATTCTCAGCAGTGGGAAGAGCGTGCAGAGTCACAGAGTTGGAGAACAACTGTGAGTGTTGGGAGAACTGTGAGCAGTTCGGGATAGCAGAAGTGGAGGGTATCTGCAAATGAATAGATTTTGCGGGTGGTAGGGAATAGCATGGCACGGTCAGGCTTGTGTAGGGAATAATCAGTCTGGCAATGGCAGGGAGGACAGATTGGAGTGGGGGAGAGAGCAAAGATAAGATGAGATAGAAACATCTGCTAGTAATTCAGGGGGAAGATGGTGGGGCTCTGAGCTGGGGTAATGGCGGTGAGGATGAAGTTTTGAGTTAGAATTTAGCGATGCACTGATGTCTGCTCTAGAGAATGGAACACGCCAACATATATTGCTTCACACACATTATTTCATTCAATCCTAGAGAGTCAGTATGGAAATCTAGCGCTCAGATATGTTCATTAATCTACCCAAGGTCACACAGTCAGAAGGTGTTGGTCAGGGCCTTAGCCCTGTCAGGATTACCTGGCTAGAGTGGTCCAGGATGTCCCAGGTGTCTCTCTTGGGAGATTGGGTGGGTGGCGATGTTTTATCGAGGGTAGAGAAAAGCATGAAGAATAGTACATTGGGCTGGTAGCAGCAGAGATGATGACTCCATTTTGTGCGTGTTATAGCTGAGGTACCTGGGTGTGACATATGGGGAAAAATGTCTACTAGGTGGGTCGATATGAATCTGCAGGATTGTCTGGGCTACACGTGGAGATTTAGGAGTCGCCATTATTTAAGTGCCATAGAAAGGGATCGTATAGAGAGATGAGGTATCGGATAGGTCTCTTTCTTTTGCCAGTGGTAGAAAATCCAGTTCAAGTTGACTTAAACAAAAAGGAAAGTTATTGGCTATGTCACTA